AACTGCCCCCCCCCCCCCCCCCCCCCGCGTGAGGAATAATTAGGACAAGGAAGTGAAAGGACTCAGTCTATCTCTAGTTTAGTTACTAAGGGATGATCAAAGTTGTGATAAACCTTGGACCGGAAAGAAGCTTATTTCATCTATTATACCATTATGCATTACCGGGTCGCAAGAACGGGCACGGGCCAAATGCGGTCCGCGGGCTGCGGGTTGGACATCCCTGGTGTACTGGTGTAATGTAGGGCTTACAAAGGGTGCCCAAAAAGTCACTTTACACTTGACTACACCTTTTACCCGTTTGAAAATCCTTTATTATAATTTATAATTTATAACGGATAAATGATTTATAAATTATTTTTAAACGAGTGAAACGTGTACAATGTCAAGTGTAAAGTGACTTTTGGGACACCCTTTATGAATAAGTATACAAACCCATTATGTAATGCCTGTAAATGAATGAAAAATATGAACAGGAGTTGATGGAATGGAACTGAAGAAAGGGGAATAAGAATTAAAAAGAGGCAGAAATGAGACAGATACCTCAGTGCTCTTGAAGGTGATGGTGCCCTCTTTGCCAATGTAATCCTTGCCCTCAACAGCGCTCTTGTCGTGAGTCTTCCAGGAAACAGAGACATCGCCATCTGCTCCATCCTTGCGTATCACGGGGATCTGGAGTGTCCCCACGCTTTCTTGCACCAGCATTCCGCGCTTCTTGAACATCAAGGTCCCGGGATCTGCAGTACAACAACTACATCGAGCAACTTTCAAATGCGGAGCAGGGAGGCTGGAATCATTCGTAAGGTCAAGTTCATGGAAAACTGATGGACAATTTTGCAAATGCTTCCACATGTAGGCACTGTCCGATATGTCCACGTTGGTACACAAGGACGTGTGAGACAGCTCAAGTCTACGTATCGGTTCACCAGCGGAAGCATAATCTTATATGAAATCAGCCTGTGTCTGCAATTTTTGAGAAAATATTGTGGGCAGATTATGTTAATGACACAACAAATTCAAGAGTCACAGAGAACGCCACCTGTACTATAACATTGACTGGAACATGTAGCTCATATGTTGCTATAATGTCTAAGCATGAAGCTTGCGTGGGAGACGACCCACGGGGGAGGACCTTGGCTTCTCCAACGAGTATAATTTCCATTATTTCTCAATATCATTTCCTTTATGCCATTTATGTTCGTTCTCTTTCATATGAAAGGTCAGAGAGGTCGCCTGTCATAGGATCTGGGATGTATAATCCACCTTCATGCATGGGAGAAGCCGTTTAGATCTTCTCTCTCAGGCAGATCGTGGAAAAGTACCTGGCGATCAACCGTAAAATGTACTGCGCCTTTCTGGACCTTGAGAAAGCCTAAGAAAGCCTAAGATGGTATGGTCAAGAACAAGATATGGGATGTATTGACAGTACGGTGCGGAGGAGAGGCTGTTGAATGCGGTTCGAGCAATATACAGGCATGTGGACAGCAAGGCATGTGTGCGTGTGGATGACGAGATCAATGTATGAGTCAACATTTGGAGAGGTGTGCGGCAGGGATATGTGATGTCTTCCTGGCTGTTTAACGTCTGCTATACACAGTTGGATTAGGGAGGCTCACATTCACGGGTCGGGCATGCAGGGAGGCCAGAGAAGCTGAGCGTGCGTAGACGATGCTGTATTGCTCTCTGATGCCGAACGCAGACTGCAGGATATGCTGTATGGGCTAGATATGGTGTACGTAAGGATTGATATGCGGATAAATGTGGGAAAGACCAAGGTCATGGTGTTTGAGTGAGCGAAGGAGAGGACTGAGAGTACAGGACGTTGCATGGGAAACGTCTAGAGCAGCGGTTCCCAAACTTCTTTGAACCGCGACCCACTTGCCGACGCCCAAAAAAGCTCGCGACCCACCGCAATCCAGAATGGAGTATTTTAAAGTCATGGCAAGAAGAAAACTCCCTCCCTTTTTTTTGCAGCGTTTATTCTATTCCAGTATGACTTGTGCGTTTGGTGCACTTTGCAGAGATACTCCATTCTGGGAGGAATCTTTCGCAAGGCGAGTTGGAATTCGTTCTCCACTTGCAGCCGCGAAAAGAAACTTTTTTTTTATTATCGAAGTCAGAGCAGAGAATCCTATTTCACACAGATATTTGATAGCGAAGGGAAGAAGCGCCCGTGTTGCCTTCTTTACAAGAAGGGGATGAGTTTTATTCTTTGAATTGAGAGGAAGGCGGAAGGAGAATTAAGGAGGGGACGTAGAAGTGTGCAAGGGCCGAGCTAATTCCATTATTCAGGATTGAATGAAAAAAAAATTTTTTTCATTAAAATTTTTTTATCGTGGAAAACTTGTCACGACCCACCTAGAAGCCCTTCGCGACCCACAGTTTGGGAACCGCTGGTGTAGAGCATATGAATGAATTTGTATACTTGGGTAGCGTGTTGGCAAGAGATGGCATTATTCATCAGGAGATTGTGAGGCGAGTAAATGCGGGACGGAAGGTAGTGAGTGTAATGAGTAGCGTGGCGAGGAATGAAAGGCTGTTGAGGGAGACTCGAGCGGCAGTGTACAAGGGAGTGCTGATGCCTCCCTTCATATATGCGAGTGAAACGTGGGCGTGGCAAAAACGCCACAAGAGCAGAGTGACAGCGGTGGAGATGGCGCACCTGAGGAGAATGACTGGAGAGACCAGAAAAGGCAAGGTGCGGAATGAGAGGGTGTTAAATGAGTGTGGTGTGAAGGAGAGCGTGGTGAGTCGGGTAGGGAAAGGGATATTGCGTTGGTTCAGTCATGTGGAGCGGATGAATGATGAGCAATTGACAATGAGAGTGAATGAAGATGTCGTGGATGGACGGAAAGGTAGTATTCAGCCAATGAGAATTTGGTTGGACTAAGTGAATGAGGTGATGAAAGAGAGGAACATCAGGAATGAGAGGAACAGGAGAACGTGTGTGAAAAGGTACATGGTGTGGCTGAAGCCAGGGAGGTGCGCAGGGATAGGTATAAGTGGAGAAGTTCGATTGTTTCTCGTGGCGACCCTTGCGGGAAACGGGCGTGAAGGTTAATGTTATTGTTGCTCTTACTCTTTCATATGACATCGACTACAAAAAATGTATCCATGCGTTGCTATGATGCTTTACGGTTACTTTCCACTAACCTTCCAAAAAGCACTGTTCCTACTGTCCTCGTGATAACCTCATCTATGACTTGGTGAAGTAGGATATTTTTGTCATGGTATTGCAGGAAGCAGAGTCGTGCAATGACTTCCAGTAATTAGTAACCTCTTCTGACCTGACTGAAAAGTTTACTTGTCGAATATGCTTTTTTCTACATAGAGTAGAAAGGAGTCTAAAGAAGTTAATCCTCACTGACGGTGCGAATCGTCAGTAAGAATGGAGAGCGAGCTGGACGACGGCGGCAATCAAGGAAACGGCTAACGAAGCTGACAGTCCCCCACCCACCCCGAGGAGAAATAGTTCGGCGATCCACGTACTGTCATCGTTGAGGATGGTGATTTCGAGGACGTTAATGCGTCCGAGCTCCACGCCATCTTCCTCTCCGGACACGAGATTCAACTTGAGGAAGAACTCCTCGTCGGGCTCCCACTGCTCGTCGTTCAGGATCTCCACCTGGTCCACGGTACAACAACTCATGGTCCATCCACTGTCAGTACTAGTGAACATTCCCCATCCCAACTGTAAGTTATACATACCTCAATCATTTTTTCCGTTTCGTTGGGTTCGAATTCCAAGACTTCCTGGATTTTGACGTAGTCTTGCCCTGCCTCCGCTGACCCATCGATCGTCTCCACTCTGTTCCCAAAACGAACAGTTAAGAGAGCCATGCCATGGCATCGGGATATACCTTTCCAGAAAATACTTGCACCGTTTCTCCAGTCAGAGAACTAGGCTGAAGCTACGCGAAAGAAACCGTGCAAGTGCTCCTTGGAAAGGGATATTTGATTTTCATCCATGCAAGAGACCTGATTTTGGCCACTTTGTCGAGTCGTCCGGTTCGCTGGATGGGGATTTTCACCTTGCCGACGTTTTCCATCACGGCAACGGTGGCGGCCTCGAAATCGAAGACGGCATTCTTCTGGGAATCCGGCACAAGGGGCTTCCCCAAAGTCGGTGCATCCGGGTGCTCGTTCATCGCATCGTACACCTACACAATATTTACCCATTCCGAGAAACCTCCCTCTCGTTTTGTGACTGGGCCATCGCCCATTTCATTCACGAGTTGAAGGTCCAAGGACCAAAAGCGACGAGCCGAGTCATGGAGCACGGAGCATCACGATGCCTTCATTTTCATCTTCATGCATGCAGGCTTCATTAAATCCATGCTAGCGTGCTTCTTCCTCATTCCTCTCTCTCATTTTTACATCTATGGATCTACTATGTCACCATTCGGATTGGGACTTGGGGTAAAATTACGGGGATCGTATTATGCTGGTTGGCTACTGGGAGGTGATAAAAAAAGGACAAAATAATTGCTACCCGGGAGAATGGCAACTTGGTCGCGCTAGATGTGATAATTATTTCAGTATGTATCGTTTCTCATTGTGAAATCACATTTAAATTGTTCCAGAAATATTCAAACCTCGAAAGTACACAAATCACATCACAAGAAAAAAGCGAGAAGTTCGGCAAGTCACTTTTTTAACTGTAAAAATCAGAAGTAAAAGTTCGGCATTTTTCAACGTTTCGCATTGAGATGCTCGATTTTAAATGTAAGATTTTAGAGAGTATAGACAGACTTCAGAGAGTACTGAAACACAGTACAACAAAAAATGAATAAACCTTAAAATCACGACCCTAAAATTTCACATTTAAAAATATTTCTAAGCAGACGACCATGAAACGCGCAAGCAAGGAGACGCTGCTTACTACGGAGTACAAACTGAATTTCGACAATACCTGAAGCTCCAGGATTCTACTGCAGGGACGAGAAGAAAAAAATACATTCGAGCGAGAGGAAGAGGGAAGGATGTCAAGCTGGGGTATGAAGAGCAAGGGCAAGGGCAAGGGTTCGGACCTAAACGACAGGTCAACTATCACAATAGCAGGCTAGATGATACCTTATTGATGGAGTTCAAGCCGCAGATACAGGCAGGGAAAAGCCGAGCCCTCCTCTTCTAGTTTTCCGTTGCATGGCACAGGAGAGACAGAAATCTTTTATATACTCAAACCAAATTTCTTAATTTTTTTTTGTTCTTTTATAGAATTCTCAGCAGAAGCCAGCTTCAGTTGCATGATATGTGGAGATTTGGCATGCGAACTTACGGGATGTCCCAGGTCAAGAAACTGGGAAGGGAAAGAATAATTTAGAGTCCCCAATATTGAGATCCTATCGTCTGCAAATGGAGAAAATTGTTTATGTTGTCCAGCCCCACTGGTTTCTAGGAGATTCTTATCGATATTCCTACTTCCCATATTCGCGTCATACGAATGACGCAGGGGGTGGATAAATATTCCTGGTTGCCCAGAAACTCATATCGATATCCCTACGAGCCCTCTCATGTGAACACACAACCAAAAAGCAACTCCATCTATCTACTTCATCCACGAATTCATTCCAAACTCAAAACTGATAAAGGCGTAGATTTCACTGGCCTCGAAGATAGTCTGCTCTAATGTGCAAAACCCCTTTAAAAACTCGGGTGCTTGTTTTAACGCTTTCCCCCACGATGCGAGTGTACGTTTCTTTCAACAAATGCAGTTAAAATCACCAGTGCGAAGTCAATTCTGTGCGGGTTCTCACGGTCCCCAAGCAAAGCTCTTTTTTTCTGGGTATCAGCTCCTCACTTTATCCATCGCTTCTTCGACCTGCCGCTTGATTGCAGCAGAGGCGATGATTTTCGTCCAATCCGTCCCAGTAGAAGACATGGGAGAAGCAATCTCTGGTAATTTGATGTTTTCAACGGCGGGCATATTGGCCAAGTGGTCCCCATGATCTGCCGGGTACGAACGCTTCCCACCTTTCATCTTCGTTTCCTTGTCTGTCTTCTTTGACGTCGTCGTCGTCGTTGTCGTTTTTGGGGGTGGCACAGTTGTTTTTAAAGTTGAGGCTAAAGCGGCTTTCTTTGCACGTCTCAGCTTTTCCCATGCCGAGACCTGTTTCTCGCAATTCATCAGCGTTCCGAGCAGGAGCAAGTCAGTTCACAACTCCAGAAACGCATTCATTAATTTACGGAAGGGATTATTTAGCGAAAGGTAAGAGAGAAAGAGAGAAAATGAGAGAGAGAGAAAGGGGCGGGAATCAGAGACAGACCTCCTGGAGTTTCTCGGAGACTTGAGGCTTGGTCTTGCGGGAGCCGGCGAGCTGTCGCGTCGCCCCGATCCGATACCACAGCCGGGAATGAGGCTGCGACTCCACCAACCTACGGATCAAAGGGTGAAGGGTTAAGAGGTACGGGTCGGATGACTCGGGAGAGACCACCGAGCCCTCTCATCCCGTTCGACCGATATCCCGAGCGAACGAGCCATCTCATCGGTACCATCCCCCCCAACCGATTCCCCTCCAAGCTTACTTGGTGGCAGCGAGAAGTGCGGCGTCCTCCTCGGAGAGTCCAGGGTATTTCTTCACTTCGCGGACGAACTGGACCAAGGAGTCCTTGTCTACCTTTCCATCCCTGAAGAAATACTCGTCCCTCAGCTGTTTCTGGGCTGCATCGGAAGGAAAGAACGTTCCTCACATACCATCGATGGGGACGATTCTCGGCATAGAGCCGGCATGCACGTGCAGTCATTCCTTTTACTCAAGAACGCATGAAAAATATATATTTAAAATAATCATAATAATATATGCGAACTTGTCAAACCACGCAACCCATAACGCAGCCCAGGAGATGCATATTTATTCCAACAAATGAGTTCGGTGTTGGGAGGGAGGGAGGGGATATGAAATCTTTAACAATAGAAAACATATACCAGTCTTCCAATTGAAGTACTCGAGAATGAGATGATAGCAATACAATATGTCGCATCAGCAGCAGGCCTTTTGTGCTTTCCTTTAAATATTGCGTGAAGGCAACATCATCATGAAAATTAACGGAGCGATTCTGCAACAGGGAAATGGCTCTGAAACTGACAGAATGTGAGCGGGAGACGCGGTCCCTCCCAAGCCAAAGCAGTTGTAAAAACTTGCAGTGCAAAAAAAAAAATTCATTAGCACGTGAATAACTAAAACCGGTCTTTAATGGAAAGAATCGGGCCAATAAAATACTTCCCGAAGCTATCCATAACGCCTACTCTATCTTATGTGGCGGTGTCTTTTTTTTTTTTAAAGGTTCGATGAACCGCACAATTTGATTATCCGAACAACTAGGGCCCCAATTAGTTGGAACAATCGATATTCTACAGTACGCCATTTAGTCCAAACGTTAAGCAGATTGAGACTGAGCGAGGTGCATTCCATTCAGCGTTGATGCACGTCCCTTCTTCCAAGTCCAAACTCCCTTCCACTTTGGGAAACGTGGACAGTTTTTGCTCTCGCAACCGAATATTACGGATGGTATTAACAATCCGATGTTGGCGCTAAATGGGAATTTAAATGCCTAGTTTGGAAATAAAAAGGGAAAGTCAATGGTCATCACATTCACAAGCAAACAACACCACCAGGGGCTTAGCAGTAAAACAGATCTGTCAATGATCAACTTAATACATACAACTTAATACCCAACTTTTAAAGATGACAAGATTTACCATTTCCTACTTCCCAATTATAATGATTCTCTTTGGGAATACCAGATTCCGACTGGCGTTCGGTTCCGTCTAGGGAAAGAGCCTAAGTCCTTTTCGGTTTTTATTTTCTTTAGCCATTGCAACTGGGAAGGCAAAGGTGAAAAAATAACTTGAAGTGAGGGGCCTCAGTGAACTTGGGTGAAAGCAATTGTCCCAAGCATATGTTATGCACTCCAAATGTCCCACAACTTTTTCTGCGTCATCAAAATTCTCAGGACCTATGGCATCGAACGGGAAAATGTGGAAAATGGGAAAATGGAAAGAAAATGAAAATAAGACCCTCAGATGGCTGAATCTCTTACCTCCCCCAAGGCCCCACTGATGCCATCCCAGATAGTAAAAACGTGTTGGGCAGCATAGTATGCCAACCTGGAATATGTAGGGCCAACGTAAATATGCCAACAGGTCAATGTTGGACCAACACTGGATGGTCCTGGGCCTAACGTTCTGCCCACATTTTCCTACATTGGACCAACACTGGATATCTACTTCAGTCCATGATTGTGCTATGAGTAATGAATAATGTTCCCAGAAGGGTCATATCTTCCCTTGGGAAATATACCTATTCGACGTCAAAATGCGAAGTTCATCAAGATCGTTAGAGCTGATTTAGGATCCCGAGATATTCCAGGATGTGGTGCTTCCGTTTCCGCAGGAAGTGATGCGGTAATAGGTAAGATTCGTTTCTCCTGCACCATCCAAGCTTATCCTATATCACATGGACCGATCAAGACTGATACACTCATTTGCGAATCGTGATTTATTAAACCAAAACTACTTCACGGAGGTGTTTTAAAATCGAGCTCAGACTTCCAATCGGAATAGCTGTATTCTGATCTGCAACGTTAGAGATTACTCGATGGATTGGCTATCCAGAAATTTTCACTTTCCCTGTACGCCTTTTAGTTTTACGGTACTGAAAGGCACTGCCTGTCCTCTGTATGAAGATAACCAGGAAACTGATTTAATAGATTCGAGGCTGATAGGGCACCAGGGCAATATCTCCGTTCCATGCCATGCACCTAAGATTCAGTCACCGCACACAGGTGGTCCATGCCCTGAGGAAGATTCCTTGTCATATTTCACAGGCCACGTATGCTTCAAAATAAGCGCTTCGTGTGCTACGTCACGTGCGACGTCGCGTGGTAAGTCTCAATATATTAACTTTCTCGAACATCTAAAATTGTATGGGGTGATGGAGCTGATTTTTGGATGCACTACAGTTTCTGGGTGAAGCTTAAGTGATTGCTAGATCATTTAATTTTTCTTCATGCAGACGAAATCTTGCGAAAAGTCCGTTTCACTTCCGCTAATAGTCTCAACATTAAAAGCCTCGCCTCTGGTGAACATTTTTGACCACATGTGCTAGCTTAGTATGGACGAGCCACCGCCACTCCACATTGTGAAACCGCATTCCACCGATTTTTCGACGTAGGTCTAGCCTCGGTTGGTCATACGTACACAGCAATGCACACCTACTTCCTACCAATGTGTTACCAACATTGACAGATCACATGCATTCAACCTTGCACATCCTCTCTTCGCCAATAACCCACCAACATTGGTCCAATATTGGCAGCACACATGCACAATACATCACATGCCCACTTTCCAACCAACCCCACTCTCCAATGCCCACTTTGTTGGACCAACGCGACCACTCTACCTCCACATTCGGTCAACCTTGCCAACGTCCAGGCAATGTAGTCTCAATGTGTCATGCTATCTGGGATGGTTTGTGCCATCGCTTCTCCAAAACTCGCCTCACAACCGGTATGGTTGGGATTTTCGGCATGGAACAAAAGGCCATCCCCATACCGACTGCCATCAAACCTAGCTTTATTTTCCATTGGCATGGAAAATCAAATCATTCAAAGAGAATGCATTTCCACAGTGAAATCTTTCACCGAGTTTTCTCTCAGGTTGCAGTTCACTCACCCCTTCCTCCACCCACCCTTCGCTCACCTCTTCTTTTCCAAGGCCATTCCGTTGAAATCAGAGCGATATGTACTGTCCTAACTTGAATTCATCTATTAATCCTGGTAACCTAACCAAAAGAAGCCAAAGAATGCGCTGTCCGTGAATTTTTTAGAGGCATGCAAAGAAATGTATTGGATGCATGAAAAACTCAAGCTTGCCAAAAATGTGCACGGAGGCGGACTAATGTTTCTGTCTTTGTTGCACGCTGGAATTAAATTGCTTCTGAGGTCAATTTTGGAGAAGCAATGACACGGTTCGTGACCTTAGTGGTGGATTTGGGCAGGTATGAGGACAAGGTATCCCACGATATAAAAAGTTTTCTGTCGGTGCTGTAAATGCTGGGAATTTTGGTCGCAAATAAATGCTGCAGGAGGGCAATATATTATGTTACGACAGGTTGTATGCATGTCGTAACCTATATATGTCTTTCTCCTAGAGTTTACGCGATCCCTTCGAGGAATCCCGTGGGTTCCTATCTATATCATCGAGACCATCGAGAAGACCGCGAAGGGAAACGAATGCAAAACTAATTCCTTCCCTTCTGGCGTTTCCCACAATCGGTGTCAGTTACTTACATCATTCCTTATCGCGCTTCGTCACCATCTTCACGTTGGATCGCTTTTCCGACCCAATTATATACATCCACCTGTCCCTTCCGATACCGTGACTCTACGGTATGTACAGTGCGATGGAGGGAAGGACCGAAAACGACGAACAGCAGGAGTTTATATATATGCCTGACTCACCGACTCGATACCAAAGGGCCACGACCCGACAATATCGAAGGATATGCAGGCGCAGGAGCAGGCAAGGAAGGCACGATGCGAAGAGACTTCCGACATGCTGCATCGAGTATCGTGCTGAAAATAAACGGCTCTCAACTCACAGGACTCACCGGGCTGGAAATTGCCCAGCTCGATCTGTTTCTTCTTATCTGCCCCCTTGAATTTGAGACCCCATCGTTCGATATCGGTGACGTAAGCCATTATGACGAGGATGGGGAAGAAGAGAAAGGTGACGATAGCTTCCCATAAGTCCACGACATTGGGTGTGATTCCGACCAAGATGACGAGGAGCCAGAGGTATGCTATCAAGGACCATACCGCTGTCACCACGAATACCTGAAAATGATTTCATTTCAAATCCAACCACTCTCGACAACCTAGTGTCTCGCCAAAAACCGACGAGTGAGCGATCTATGGAAGAAGCTTTTTACATTTAAAAAAAAGAGCCGTAATGTTTCAATGAAATGTGCAATCGTAATGCCCATAATGTCCATGGAAGACTAAGAAAATGAGCAAAATAACGAAAAACAATGGAGAGGGAGTCGAGCCATAAGAGAAGACTAGCGCGAACCTTGAACGCCTTTATGGGTCGGGCTTCGGGAGAGGGAACGGCGACGATGCAGATGGCGCATATGCACATGAGATTGAAGGCAGCAGATCCAACGATGGTGCCAGGACCCAACTCTCCCGCCTCGAACTTATTCCCGACGATCTCGATGATGGATAGAAGGATCTCCGGGGCACTGGATCCAAGGGCCATGAGCGTCAGGTTTGCCACAGTGTCATTCCACACTCGCACCTCGATCACCTCCGGTTGATTATCTGTCGCACTGCTCAGGTACACCTAGGTTATACAGCGTTTTCGAATGCAGCCCGTACGTATGAAACCAGTTTTTTTCAATTGTCAGAAACTGGAATAGATGCTAGACTGGAACAATAATGGGGTTGATAGGAAATGAATTAGTAATGCAATTGAATCCAGGAAAAGAAAAAAAGAAGGAAAGGCTCGGCTGCGTACTGTGGTGATACTACTGTGTTTTTCACTTGAGTTAGACAATTTTTTACTCGACTCAGACACACGTGCATGGAACGTTCCTCATGCATGAGTGTCGAAGTCAAGTGAAAAAGAGTCTGACTCAAGTGAAAAACACTGCAGTACGGACTGCTTAGAAACTGGGGTAGTCTCTTCTTTTTGAATAAGGGCCAAGGTAGGGACTAGTACAGCCGCTTTTACCTTTCTACCGAGAGAGAAAGATCTAAGTTTTCTTTCCCATCGTCCTGGCTTTTTCTGGAAGCCTAGATTTTTCTCTGGTAGACGGTCGACGCTCGTTACAATGAGCCTCTATAAAATGTATTTTCTATACAACAATATTCTTTACGAATTTAATTCCGATTCCCAGCAATTTGCTCATTCACATGCATGTGAGAAGTTTCTCTATTAAAAAGTTTTGCATAATTAATTGCTCGATTTTACGAAGACATATTTTTCCTTCGAAAGAACAAAAACTGTACGAAGTTTAGATCTGCTGTAAAAGTCATTATTTTCGTGCGTTTTTGGACAGAATCTTATCCAAATTAGACACGTTCCACCCACTCGTGGGCGTGGCCGTGGGGAATAAGGGAGCTCCACCGGTCACCCTTAATATTGTCAGCAAATATGACAAGGAAAGGAAAAGCTCTCTCCTTAGAGAAATGAAGAGTCATCTTCATTGTCCGCGACCGTGGTAAGGACACGGCGAACAACCAACCTTTCCTCCCCCGCAGCAGATATCAAGCAATAAGGGTCTATCGAGGCGACTGGGAAACGTAGGAAGCCCCCTATGAGGAATTTCTTTAGCCTGTTTCATAGAGTTCTTTGTTCGAGCGTCAACTGTGCTAGGGATGTCAGTGGTTTCTTTTCCTGATTACTGACATAATTCACGAACATCTCGCGAGTAGGGGAAATAATGTATTAAACGCCTTTATTGTTATTCAAAGAATGGGAAAATGTAATACTAAATGGAGTACGTAGGAATGAGGAGAAAATTTAGATTCTCTAAATCAGGTGCGAGATGGTAGCTGAAAGGACGCCTCAGATCAAAAAAGTTCTCTTTCGACTCATTTAAGGCTTCATGATCGAATCACTGTTGGTCAGCAGGAAACCTGAATACTGCATTCCTCTGTGTGACTGTAGTTCGAGAATGAAGGCTAAATGAATCCCGAAGACAACTCTTTTTGGACGGAGGTGTACTCTACAGGGACCATGCACGGATATCAGGCTCGTTGTTGTAGCATCGTTGAAGTGCCGGGAAATTTACGCTTCTTCCCGTCGAAAACGTGGCTGTGGACCCCGTAGACCATTTTCGCATCCCTACACGATATGGATTGGATGGTTGGGATTGAAAGCCGCACCGAATTCTTCAACTACAGGGTGACCCAAAAAAAAACCATGCCGGGCTCGTTTTTGGGAGAGAGCTGGGAGGAGGTCGTTTTCAAAGTTTGGTATGGTTTTTTTTTGGGTCACCCTGTACTTCCAAGGTTTCAAAATGAATTTTACATGGAACAAGTCTATGGACCCCGTGAAATCCCACATTTGGCTGCGTACCAGTAGGTCTAATCTTTTTTTCTCTTCATTTTTCAGATTCGTTGCAACGAACGGTTCTATTATTCAGCTAATAGACAATACGAATATTGATTTAGAGTAGGTAGTTTACCTTGCGAGTCTTAGACGTGATCTTCTCGATGGCACACATGAAAATGTCTGCGATGATGGCAATCCCGAGGAAGCAATACAAGAGTGCCACGAAATAAAGGCCTGCCCGGACCGGCTTCGGCCATGTGTACTCGCTGATTAAGGGCAAGAGGAGCCCCCTGTCCGAGCACTCGTAATTATACAGGTCTCGAGAATTGATCGTCGACATCTTCTTCTTGGTATCAAAAGGAACGACAACAATAACAAGGACGTTCCGTCCCCTTTTTCATCTGCAAGAAATTAAAAGAAAAGCATATTCGATGATGGACGAGAGAGTCGGCCGAGAAAAGGGCCACGAAGGAAAGCTGTTTGGTCGATTCTCCTTTTCTGTGAATGGGGAAAGGTCGCCATAACAAGATGGTTTCATGCAAGGGGATCATAAGATAGGATATACTTCTATAGGACCCCATGATAAGCCTTATTTAGTCGTCTGTCCTTCCACGGCAGCAATGGGCCTCCTAGCCTTACAAAGTCCCCGAATCCATTCCTCTCTTTTCATTTCAAGTAGCCTATGAAAAGAAAAGCGATGATTTATTGTTAACAAGGTCAGCATGTGAAAACTAACAAAAACTAGTAATTTCCGGAACTGCCAGACTGATGAAATTTTTTGGGGGGGGAGGGAGGAGATAAAAAGACAAAAGGGCAGGTCGGTTCGTGAATAAAACTTTTGGGCATCGCTGTACACACGATGACAAACCTCGTTCTTTCCATTCCCCAGCTGCTCGTCGCCGTGATACGCTTTATCTAGCTGGCATACTATGAAGGCGAGATTCATCATGAATCTTTCAACTGTACGCTCCTGACCTTACGATATGACCGAGCATGATAGGGTGAGATATTGGAGATAGGGGACAACTAGATCGGGGAAAGAGATAGTAGGGACAAGAATATACTGTTCAATAAAAGAAGAAAAGGGATGGAGGAATTTCTCATTTCCTGAGAACAAGATGGTCTTATCGCGCCTCACGCTGATCATGCACGCTATACCATGCGTGAGCACGCCATCGCTGCCACATTTTATATTCCCTGTCCCCCGAAAGATAAGACGTGCGCAGAAAAGATCATGACTTTCTCATTGGGTCGTCCAAAATGGAAACTGACTTACTGCCAAACGGCTATTTTGGATGTAGATAATTCTAGGCTTTTATTTTAAAATTATTTTAAGAAATATAGTTTCAATTCGTCTTCGATATAGCAAACGTAAATCACGGATGAAACAAAGCGTAAGAACAAAAAAAGAGTTAATGCCATTGGCTTTAGGATACGGGTTGTGCAAAAGTTCCCGTACACTTCGATTAGCGTTTCGATTCTCTTTAGGCGTCATAGCTCCAGAGAAAAAAATTCAAATAAAGACTGAAATTTACTATAATGAAAACATTTCGTATCAAAAATGTCCGTGGAATAAAAAAAAAAAAACATCAGGATCGCCAAAAATCCTATGATTAGTGAAAGAATAAGATTTTCTAAGTGTACGGGAACTTTTATACGACTCTGTATCATGCGCATTTAATTGAAAGCATACTGCAGAGTTGCAGTTTACTTATACACAGTCATCATTCTACAGTCATATTCGGGCGCAAATCAGCGCATATCACGTCAGATCTGTTAAAATCGATTTCCCGAGTCTTCACAGATTCCAGTAAAAATGAACTCCGAAGAAGCGCGGAGATTCACACTGAGAGGTCATGCAAGCTGCTAAGCTGCTCACTTGTGTACGAGGTCGTTTGTCCTTAACCGCAACACGAACATCACCGACAGAGAAAATTCTTTTAAGCTTTGGGTGACCTGCTTCAACACATGACCGAAAACACGCGAAAATGATACTTCCACAAGCCAAACAATCCATTTTACGTCTTGGTCGGATTTTGGCTTGCCTAGCTGCCAAGGCCTATGCTATATTACTAGTCATTTTTGCTTCAAAATTAGGAACTGAAAGCATAAAATGATGGAAGATAACCTGACCTCACATTCTGGTCGGTTGCGACACTTCAGCGCTAGCTACGAATCAGAAAAGTGTCTTGGAGTCAGATTGGGTCAACACTGGAATGAATCCGGAGTGCAATGGGTACCAAGAGCAAGCAAGCAAGCAAACATTACCGTTCGTGTGGATGGGATCTTGCGTTTCTCCTTTTCACTCAGTACACTTTCCGCGTCGTGTTTTCTCAGTTCAACCAGTCTTATCGGAGGAAACTCCCTAGTTTTGTTGTCATCACGATGCAATACTTGCACCGATGATTTGTTTCTTTATACCCGAACAAATAAGAGGAAGCAAGTATCTTTCTCTGTGTGATCCAGTAGAGGTCAAACTCCGCTATTGGGAGAGGGGCTCATTGAATCTTTTCGGCAACACAAGGCGTGGTTATGGACGTGTTAAGTCGGTCTCTGACGACCCCATCCATGACCACATACGCGAACTGATGGATGTAGCGAAAAATTGGCTAGCCATGCCCACGATAGCAGTATATCTTAAGCCTATTTCGAGCCCAAGGAAGCGAGAGGGAAGAAATGGGAATCGTTGAACCCATCCTGATGAAGGATAATAACACCCTGAGGGTTATTTGGGGTGCGCTGTCGACTGCAGTTCCGGTTTCCGACGACCACCGAGAGAAAAATCTTCAAATTGAACACTCCCGTGGTGATTTTTTTTCGGCTCGGTTGCGTCATCTGAAGATACCTGCGGTGAAAGCGAGTTGGTCTGCTGGACGTCTCCCCTCTTCTCATTTTTCGCCCCCTCCGTCTTTTGAGTCTGGCGAAGGACATGCCCTCGTTTCGTTACATCTGCCGCCCGTTGCAATTACTTTTTTGTGGCCTTCCTCCAGAAAAAAAAAAACACCGGCCACTTTTATATGATTATATCCCCGTTCTATATGTGCGTCTGTTATCTATCACTTTCGTCGTTTTACTGCCTTTTGTCATCCAACATATTATGCAAATTATATATATTAGTAAGATAAAAGCGAAACGGTGACGTTCATCATGTGAATACATGTGGCAAGATACAGGTAGTCATTATTCAGTGTGATATTTGCTTCAAAAACAGTTATCACTATTGTAAATTTGAAACTTGCTAACTTAGCTCAGAGGCTGATGGATAGTGGAGAGAGACTTTTTCTTTGACCGGATTTCCGTGAAAAGCTCTCAGTTGAGTTTCGCCTTGCCAAACTGGTTTCCCTCCCAAAACGACCTTTTACCTTTGATAATATCGAGAAAGCCGTCACGCATTTCAAAATTGATTAAATATTCCTGTGCCTTCCTAGGCATTTGGCCTTTAGTCTGCAAACCTTTCATTTCAGAATATTCTCTTTATCGTATTTCGCCAAGAATTTTCAATCATAGCAACCCCCTTTCGCTCAACCTCGGCTAAAAATGAGGAAGAAATCATCACGTCCACCGCGTTTGACAATCTGACTCTAACTTCTCGATAGCTAGGTAAACTTTGCCCACCTTCGTTTACTTTTGATAACTACACCCTAGCGATAGATAAAGCGCTCTTATAGCGAGAGATCTCCACCACCTTGTCTGATCGTCGATCGACCTTGTGCTATTCGCTCTGATATTAGTTCGTGCCGTGAGACCAGCCCGTGCTCCCTTGCCAAAATCGCGGAGAATTTTCGAAATGGGATGCTCTTCCGTTGGAATATCTCTTCGATCTGAATTTCAAGTTCTTGGAAGGCGAACTTCTCGCATTGCCTTCTACTACCTGTGACCACTTTCTAGAGAGAGAAATCAGAGCACTGGTTGGTCGAGACGTGATATGGACGAATGCAGATCACGCAGGGGTGATGACCCCCGAAGGAAATTACGACATTCGTAGCTGCTTCGTTAGCCCTCTCTCTACACTTCGCTTACGCCGCAACAGCACCGACCTAATTACTCTCCCTTGCTTGCGGAAACGCATTTCTCTCAGGACCCATGGCAACGGAAAACCACACGATTTTTTGCACAGAACGAAATCACCAATTTAAAAGGGGGGGGGGGGATGCAACAAAAAACCATGGGTCGGCCTTTCATGTGCGTGAGTGTGAGGGGGAACATGACACGTGGGTGAGGTTCATGGTCGGTGAGGTCCTCCTTTGGTTGGTTGGGGGGGGGGGGGGAAAGAGGCCTCAAGGTCCAGGCGCAGATGGACACAGGCGAGGCATTCTCACGAAGCGTGCATCATGCACGAATCATGCATGCTTCATTGAAAGGAACACTTGGCGTACTGTGAGGCGCCGAACATTGGTAAAGCATGCTTCAACTCACTCAAATTGATGTGTTCCAGCCATAGAAGCGTGTAAAAGCTTCTCGACAATGTTTCACCAGAGTGGGACCGAGCTACAACACAGCATGTCCCAGAGAAAAGTTCCCATGGTTCCCATGCCAACGGTTTAAAGGTAAAAAACGGTTTAAAGGTAGACAAGAGATTCAGATGCTCCGTGAAATGGACTTCAGGTTGAACTAAAGCAAAGGTGAAGTAAAGTAGAAGTGAGACAGCACAGGTAAAGAGAAGTATGAGCATGGATAAAGAATTGCTGTGAAAGAGGTCCTGGGAACGCGTTCTCGATACGAAAACGCATTCGAGCGCAAAGAAGCTTTGCCATTGCCAATCTCGAAATGGCAGGAGGGAAAATCGTATAATGGGGGAATCTGGTAGTCGTATAGCTATATGGGCCTGTCTCGCACTACTTCCAGGAAGAGTCATTGCTCGACCCCCTGACCCACTTCCGCCAAATTTTCCCTTGAACCTTCCCGTGACATTGTTTTCTTCTTAACGGGAACATATCCACGTTCAATTGCATGCATTATCCTCTATGACGAGGCAATTTTACTTTGTAGGGCAATCTGGGTCGAATTGGGTGAATTTGCACCCACTTTTCTGTTCGCAGGTCGCACGTGCGTAAGAGAAGTTAAGGTCTGCTGGCGCTGAATGGGTGAAAACTTTCGAAATTTCCATCGTCTTTCCCCTAATTGGAAGTGAAGTTCTCCAATACAGAGAAAGGAAGGGGTTTGATCGTTAAAAGGGCTGGCCTTTTGTCGTTCCCTGCCGCATGCATGGCAAAATATCTTAAAGGGCCTGAAAGATAAGGTCAGAAATATACAATGGAGGCACGACTTGACTCGATAGCTGCATCAACAGACAATGACAGGCCACTTCACACCTGCCATAGACCGATCAACTCAAGCGTTTTAGGAATTTCGAGAAAAAATCGGAGGGAAAAAAGTTGGGGGGGGGGGGGAAAGAATGCAAGCGGTCGGCATGACATAAGAAAGGACTTAAAAAGTGAGCTCATCCCACATAGCCTGAGGCTATCTACGCAACACGATGAGGTCATTTCTCCCTTCTCGCTCTATCCGCTTTTGTTGCTTTTAGCCTTGACGCACACGCCCACATCTGAGGCTGTGCCGACATTGCAAGTGATAAATCCCTACCCAAAAGAGGTGCAAGGGCCTTGGACGTAAACGCTGCCATACGCTCCTACGGAGGTTTGTATTAACCGACAGTGACACCTGGAACCCCGGCACAACATCTCTGTCACATAAACGTCAACGTGATCTGATAATGTCAGATGAAACAGATATGGGTATGAATTACGAGGCTGATGAAGTATGGATCTATTGGTGACGTCACAAGTGAATATATCTGAAACACCGTTTCCTAGGATGCATCGTCGACGGTTGACCAAAAGAATATGTAATCGAACGGGTTCGTCTTATGCAACAAGGGTTCGAAGCTACCAACACAGATGAATAAGACACAGAATTGAAGAGATCACTATCACATGGCGACATCGGAGAAAATGGAACGGAGGCGGTGCCGGTCCTCGGGTTGTGACGTCGGACTCAGCACTGCCTGCCTTCACAGGCTCGCACTGTGCCTGCTGTATGGATGTGGGACCCGCATCGCCTGCACGCAAGAATCACCATTCCAACGGTTCCCTATCGGTGCAGCGGGCGAATATGGACCTTATGTCATCCGTTTTGTCCATATGAGCAGTATCCTCATAGCGACGCAAGGGAAACTGGACCTTATCGTCACGCCCATAGCATTCCGTCTCTGAGACACTGACTCCGTCTCTTGTTTATGATAAATTTATGCGATGATGGGTGATGTAACCTTTAATGAAGGAATGACTAAAATAACCAACAACGTCAGTACTGAAGGAAGGCAACAAAGTTGGCCCAAGGCTTATCGCGTCAATAGAGTGATAAGCCGGATGTTCACTCACCCACACATTTCCTATACTACGTGGGCCAGGTTCGCTGCCATGCATTCAAACATGCGTTTCATTTTGAGGGAAGTGAGTTTTATTCCTTGGAAAAAATGAGACAATTTTGGCAGAATTAGTGGCCACCTCAGATGAAAGTGGAAGGAAATGAGGGTAAATACAAACGTAGCCAAAACAGGCCAAATGAATCTTATTTGCATGTACATAAAATGAGGTCGCGGATCATTAAATCGATCAGTCGTTGGCGTCGCCGATTCCTCCCGGAGTGATGGCAAACGTTGCCTCGTTCTCTGGGAGGTCCGGGCTGTCAAAAGAATCAAAGCCAAGGCAAACGATGAGTTCAAATGGTACCACGAGAAAAGGAAATAATTCTAGCCCAAAGGATAGTGATCGAGTGAAGTGAATCATGAAACATTCTGAAACGGCATACGCAGATCGTAGAGAAGAAGTGCGATGCAAACCTGTCGTAGATTTTGGCGATTCTGGTCTCACCCCTACCCTTGCGAAGGGAGATTCTGGTCGTGGAGGCATGAGCAAGGACGTGGCCCCCGATCGGCTTCTTCCCATCCCCCTGTCCGATGTCCATCAGATAACAATGGGTCGATCGACGAAAGCGAAAGAATAGGAGGAGACGAAAAGACAAAGGCTAGACGACCTGGAAAGTGAGTACGGCGCCGGGGTCGGCAGTCATCTGGTTCGTCATGAACACGGCCACGTTGTATTCCTCGGAGATCTTCTGCAACCGGGACAAGAGTTGAGCCAGGCGTTGTTGCCGATCTGCCAATTCTCCCCTCCCGCTGAAATCCACTCGGAAGAGCGCCATCACGCTGTCCACTACCTATACCAAATACCAATCCATTTGCTCCAATACTACCATTCCGTTTCTACCAGTCGCGAATTTGATCCAAAAAAGAAAATCAGGGTTTGGTGCATGACTGAAGGGCGTTTCACTCCGCTCACGAAATGTTCTTACCCCCTGCAGTTCATGTTTATTTTGGACGATGAAGCATGACGAAAAAGTTTGAGGCGCATGATAGAACTCGTCCCCCAGAAGAGGTGTTCGCTCTCTTCACAATGATTGTTTTTGAAGTAAACCAAGTACTGGGCAGACAGTTTCCTCCAGAGATGACAAATAGTACTTCCGACTGGAGACGATAAAGTCACCTAGATCCGTCAAATTCCAGGTGTTCTAATAATTGGGGAATAGGATTTGGCTGGATGTTTGCTCCAGTAGCGGAGCAACAACAGACAGCCAAAATCGCAAGAAAATTATCCTAAAAATTTGACTATTGAATAACAAATTTTCGCCTATTGCCATCAGGTATTGAAATATGTATTTCATGAAATTAGATAAATGCATCACAATTCGAATACGAATTTTTAATATCATGAGACTCAAAAATAATATTATTAATACATTAAAGGTCAAATTTATTGCTTAACCTGTAAAGCTACGCAGAAAATTACAGAACCAGGAAACCAAGTGCTTTAAGTCGCACAGTTCTAGAGTTCCCGGGGGTATAGGGGTGTTCAAGCGGATGCTGGCAGGACAGAGGGGAGAGGTATTGTTGGACAGCGGAAACTCAACTCCTATGAGTTATTCTTTGCCCTTCCCTTAATTACTTCGCCTCCCTTGACGCGTGACCGTGCATTTATGAGGGGTGCGCTATGCTCAAGGGAATGTACTCGTTCAAGCTGACCTTGAGCTAGGGATTCACACGGTTGCCCGGCCCAGGCAAGGGGAATAGGGGTGGCTGGGATTATCAGGGGGTTAAAGGGGAAGGCCTAATCCCTGGAGGGGGAAGCGCGTCGGAGGACGTCGTGAGTGTGTCGGTCCGACACGCTTGCACGCTTCGCGGGTAACCCTTAACCCTGTAACTACCGTTCTGGATCCGATGGACCCTGAGAAAAAAAAAAAAAATTTTGCATATGTGTAGGCGTATTCTTGAAAAGTTCAATACTCTGAGTATCTTCATAAAGATGAGAGTAATTATGCAAAGTATTTCGAGGAGATTCCCTGGGAATGCGAGATGAAACAAAATAAACATATGACCATCCGGGTTCGGGTAATTACAGGGTTAAAGTATGCTATTATGCTGGCATACAAGGAGTTTGAAGATCCCGGCCTCCTCGTGAAACTTGGCAGCGACGAAATCCAGGAGTTGGAATTGATGTTCGGACGTGTAAGCCCTGGCATAAAGGACGTTCTCCAAGACGGCATTCTGATCCAAGTTGAAACGATCTGCTATCGCACGCAGCCGATCCGGGCGACTGAATCCTCCAGGTCAAGGGGGAAAAAAATGTATTACAATGATTTCCGCGCAGTGCATTCCAGCGACGTAGATGGACGAGATTGTGGACGATCCATGGAGGGGAAAGAAAAATGTGGAACGCTTCACGATTTTGCGTGTCATCCTTGCGCAGGGGCCATGCTAATCTTCTCTGTATCGTTCCAATTTTAGTATATGTATTGCCGAAGCAATACACTAGAGAGGGATTTAACAAAACGTATATGAAGCTAAACATCTTTGAATATACTAGATTTCCTTTCAGATCATTAGATCTGATTGCATAAAAAGGAGGAAAATATTGCAAATATTTTAACAACGAGACAATACCAAATCACATTCAAAATTTCACAATATGAATTTAATTGTATAGAACAATTCATCCAGAAAACTAATGGGAAAATTTACTGGCAAGGTAAATAAAAGCAAGCATGCGACATCTAGCGGTCATGTCCTAGGACGAAACCTCTGCCATCTAGCGGCCGTTACGATAACTACAAGAGATGCTGCAATAATTGTGATTCGTGAAAAGATCTACCAAGGGAACAAGTAAAGGAGAAACGAATGAAGGATACAAGGTGTTTTCAGTGTCGATGAAGATGACCTTGCCACCTGGGTATCCATTGGGCCTTGGAATTTGGGCTGTGACACAGAATGTATGAGCCAGCTGTGTCTTGCCGGTTCGAAATTCTCCGAATGCCTCTGTAATTGCCATGCTCTCCAGGCCCCCTCCCAATAGTTTGCTGCAACGCAAGACTTGAATGCATGAACTGAATGGGACGTTGCAAGAAAATATAATGGAATTATGGAAAAACATGGAGCCCACTCCAGTTCCTGGCTGCCAGTTGAAATGCGAAAGACTTGACGCCTCTTTTCGGCTACATCCAAGGCAGTGATAAAGCCATCAGAGGAGATTTTCGACACAGCCTCTTTAATTTTCTCTACTTTGGCCTCGCTCAGGCCTCTGATGCCAACCAGCTTCCGCTTCGTCGTCATCTGCACCCCCTTCACCGTACAGATCCCCGCCGCCTTCAGCTTCTTTAAATCGGCCACATTCTGGTCCAGACACAACTTATTTTACAGATCTCATTGACTTAGACTAAGCATATCATTTTAGTACAGGGAGTCAAGAACGTTTTCGGAAGGAAAAATATGCAATTCTGAAGGAGGGGAGCAAAAATAATAAGTGTGCAGTGTTTTCCACTTGTCAGACAATTTTTTACTTCACTCGGATACCTGTGCATGGGATGTTCTTCACGCACGAGTGTCTGAGTCTAGGGGAAAATTATCTAACGGAAGTGAAAAACACTATGATATTAACCATTTCAAGAGGCGGCAGATACACTTATGCAAGCATACGTTTCTTGTGGTTACTCACGATTCCGTGATTCTGAAGGAGATCTACATCTTGGAAGAAGCATTCCTCCTCTTCTTCCTCTTCCAAGGCTCTCTGGTGCATTTTTTTATCAAGAGATATCGGGACTTGGGAAGCCTCACTGCTTGATGACAAGAATTCACGAAATTGAAGGGCGAAGAAGGCTTTGAAAGCAACCTCAAGACTGAAACTGAGCGGATTTACATGGCAGCGTCATCTTTCGCAAGAGAGAGGAACTTCATTTTGGTTAAAGCAGCCGCCAGAGTACAGCAGATGGATAGAGTGAGCCTTGTTCATTGGACGGATATCACCCGAATGGTAGCGCGCATATGACGTTGGCACCGCGTGAGGTGAACCGGTTCCGATCGCTTGTATATCTTGAATTTCTTCCATTCCTCCGGGAGGCGACCAGTCGCTGAGAGGAAGTCAACATGGTATGAAGCTCCTGGTTTTATGAGCAATGCGGTGCAGAAAAGTGCACATGCTTTAGGCCTACCTTACCACCATTCTGCCGATGGAAAATTCCGTCCCTGCAAAGATTGGTTAGCCTTCCGTTAGGCATGAGCATAAATGCACAGTCGTTTTTCTTATAGTTATTCAAAGACTATATTGCAATTTTATCACTTTAACATTAAGGGCTGGGCATCGGCCTTTTATGGGTCCCTATTCCAGTCCTTGGCTATCCAATGACTAAGTTCAGCTAACCTAGGCTTAGGCTTACATTGGGCATAATGCTACACCTAACATCCACCAAGGCATGATGGGATGGTCTTCCTTGAAAGGCTAGGCTGCCTAATTCTTTAGATCTCCATTCATGGGTATGAAAACTGACTTGGACTGGTTTGAATTCAACCCCCCCCCCCCCCATATAAGGACTTCCATTGATTGTAGACTGCAGCATCTTCTGCATGGGTGGTTTTGTGGATCATCTGATCAAACAGATCCTCTGGAAGTTGTTTTCTTTGTTTCCCACTTGAGGGGGGAGGGTATGAAATCAATCTGAAAACAGTGTAAATGTATCTTTCTTTTGTGAAGAACTGTAGATCATGTTTTGGTTTAGAACAGAACTAATGTGGCTGCTTGATAGCCTATGTCAAGGCTTCTTTTCCATTTGTGCAAAGCAGCAGAATTCAGTCATGCTTGTCAAGCCTTAATGAAAACCCTGATGTCTATTGGATTAGAGCTCAGAATGATTAGGACTATTACTCATGACAAAATGAGAGACAATAAAGTAGCCTAGAAGCATAGCTTAATAACAAAAAAGTAATAGATCTATAGTTTCATGTCGCATATATGGAATGATACTCTCACAATATTTGATAGCCTCCATTGAGGTAGCAAGAGAAATAAAAGACTGCTCTAACCCTGTTCTGGCTCCAATGAACCCTGATGCCAAAATTTAGCCACTTGTGTAGGTTATGCCATGAAAGTCCAATACTCTATTTTCATGAAGACATGCAAGTAATTAGACAAAGTATTTTAAAGAGATTCTTTGAAAATGAAGAGTTGAAACAAAGAGTTTAACATATGACCATCTGGGTACTGGTAGTTCCAGGATTAATAGCACATGAGAAAAGATCTCATGGGGACCTGGAACTTAGCTGGTATTCAGGCCATTCAGGACTGTCTCAAGTCCCTGATAAAAGCAATGAAAAGCCTCTGTTTTGAGGAATTTACTGTGAGCATGAGGATTTTGGTTCCATTGAGGTCTTCAAGCCGGAAGTAAACTATTGAAGGCTTTTTGCCTTTTCAAGTAAGCTGGTTTTGACACAGGGGCAGTAATTAGAGTTGGAATAGCATTAGCATCAGTTTTAAACAATTATATCAGAATTCAATATCAGTATATATGATTAGTCAAGAGATGCTTGATAGTTGTAACAGTTGAAAATGAGCTTTAAGTGAAATGCCAAGGAATAAAATTTGTAACAAAAGAGAATAAAATTAACCTGAAATATTATATAATTGATATTATACAACCACATATTTATTTTTTTCCTACTGCATTGCAGACTGACACTGAGGTGAATCCAAAAGCATACCCATTGGCAGATGCTCAGCTGACTACCAAGATTCTCAATCTGATTCAACAAGCTGTCAGCTATAAGCAGCTGAGAAAGGGAGCCAATGAAGGTGATGAGTGTTCCTATTTTTCATTTTACAAGCAGTTGCTTATTAGTATGGTTTCACTGGAGTTCAAGCTTTCCTGATGACATCTTTGTACTCTATACCCTGATGGCTGTTCTTGTACAGTGTAACTGCAACCTCTAAACCTCAACTAAACTTACTTTTTTTTTTTACTGCAGTATGACATAACTTCCATGAACCCATTAGTTGGACCTGCATTGTAACAAAGTTGTAAAATGTTTAAGAATTTGGATAATTGAGTTTAAAATTATTATTATTTGACATGAGATGCATGCCTTTACCCAATTTGATACTTCGATACAAACTTGTTTACATATCTCTGATAAATATACTTCTGTAATGCATCTACTTTATCATCCTTCCTTCTTCTATCATGCTAATTCATTGTTGACTGTTACTTAGTAAGTACAGAATCAATTTGAATCCAGAACAGCTTTCTATTGGCTACCTTCCTGTTTTTCATACATATCTGAAATTACAGGTCAATCACACAACTGATTCACCTTCCAAGATGTAGCAGATATTAATTAATAGGATAGGTTATTAATTTTTAGACCAGTGAATTTCCCCTTTACTTTATAATCGCTTTGTTTTTGCTCAGTGAATGTGAACTTTTGTGTTTGTACAGGGTGGCTAAGGGAAAACAATACTGAAATGTTAGAAATATAATAAGGTAATTTATTTACTTGTTTGAATTTTTATTAAACTTTTGGCATTTCACACCCAAGTTATCTGATGTTGACCTAATGCTAAGGAATGGAAAATACTTGGATTGACAATGCCAACATATTTAAGGTACTCGGATGCCAACAGGTTAATTACGAAGACATGAAAAATAGAGTGAATAACACAAAATAAACTTTATAGTATTGGTATCCTTCATATACTGATTTACTGATTAGTAATGTACTTCACATGTCCACTGTCTCAAGCCAAGCAAATTTCTATTCATTGAATGATATCTGTGACCATATGAATGTAAGTGTTGTGTGCAATGGACAAAATGGCATTGGAAATGTTTTGTTTTAAGTCTTCATTTTGCATCATGTTATTCTATCTATTTTTCATATCTTTGTAATTAATAAAAATTCAAACAGGTAAATAAATTACCTTATTACATTCCTACTTTCAATATTGTATTTTCTGGGCTACCCTATTTTTGTAGGAGCACTTACATTTGGAATCGCTATTTTTTAAAGGTTCTTTTTGCAACACCACAGTTTATCCTATTGTTACTTTTTCGTAGGTGAAATGTTATTTATTATGGGATGAAAACTTAGAGCTTTGTTCTCTGTTCAGCTGTGTGATTTCATGTAGATGCATTTTCTCTCTGTTTTGTAACAGCCACAAAAACTCTGCATAGAGGGCAGTCAGAATTTGTGGTATTGGCAGCAGATGCAGAACCACTGGAGATATTGCTGCATCTGCCACTGTTGTGTGAGGACAAGAATGTACCATATGTCTTTGTGAGATCCAAGCAAAGTGAGTTGCCACTTGTCAGAAGAAACACCATGCATGAGTCTCCCTTCATTCATACAGGCTGATAAAATTTCTGGGATGAAAGATATGAAGGGATGAAAGGACACACTATTGTAAAAGGCATAGTTTCTTCATACTTTCTACTATATTTTATGTAGACATTCATGAAATAGATCTGTATGCCATTATATTTTCATGTTCTCTTAGTCTTTGGTAAGTGATGAATAATTGATTGATAATGGGCTGCTTGGTTTGTAAAATGGCTCATAATTTCCTTTCTGAATCTGGCAAAGGAAACATTAAGTTCCAAATGAGGCAGAAGAATCAATTTCTATACAAGATGTGAATGCTGTCATCACCACTCATTAACAGAATAGCACAAATGCATCACAGAAACTGCATAACACCTGATTCATTCCTTCAGTTTCAGTTTTTGGCATCTCACAGATGCCAACAATGTGAATATTTTCATTAAACTTGAGCTAACATTTGGCACCAGATGATGAGCAACATTTCATGGTATCAAGAATTTAGAGAGCTGGCCAATCATTGGCAGTGGCACTTGTGCTGCTAGTGAATCTGGATAGAGCTCTGAATCTTTCTCTTCCTGCCAACAATTATAACAGCTTATTCAGCTGACAAGGAAAAAACTGAAGTTTTTTATGCACTAACTTTTGTTACATATACTTGCAATGTCAGCACAGGTTTGCTTTAAATTGAGACTAATCCAAATTTTTCATGAAATGATGCAATGTTGGGTTGAATATTTCAGGCATGAAATTGATTATGAATGTCATAATCAAATTTCTTTTCTGGCATTGCTTCACTATGTATTGTAAATTAGGTATTAGTTTTGTATTAATGTAAAAATAATTTTTGTGGCCTCTGGAAATGTTGCCAGTGAAGTACAGTGAAAACTCGTTAACTCGAAATTTTAGGGACCGGGCAAATCGTTTCGAGTTATCCGAAGTTTGAGTTATCAGGAATCGCTCCCCCCCCCCCCCCCCCCCCCCCCCCC